TAAAGCAACCCCCATCCTTTCATGTATTTATACCTGCTCCTGTATTTTTCACTTCATGCGTCTGATGAAGTGAGCTCTAGCCAATGAAAGCTTATGCCCAAATAAATTAGTTAGTCTCTAAGGTGCCACAAGGACTCCTCGTTGTTTTTGCTGATACAGATTAACACGACTATCGCTCTAAAAAGAAAATGTTTCCCTTAAATTAGTTGTTAGCTGATTGCTTGTCTAGAATAGTAAAAAAGATAGTTTAGGTGGATTTTAGTTTCGCTCTACTGAAAAATTCTGCCTCTGAATTTCTTGATTCCAGCATGCATTGTTTTATCAGCCTTGATTACACTTCATTTGAAACCTAAACACCTGTTCATTGAAAGCTGACGAGCAAAGATGATGAAGCTAAAGCTTCCCACCCACCCCCAAAGAAAGAGCTTCTTCCGTGTCATTTTAGTCTAAATTAATTCAACACTACTTATGAAGAAGGCATTCTAAGTGTGTGCTCCTTTGAGAGAAGGTTATAACAACAGAACAGTAATTTGACCATATCTAGAACTGAAAACGTGAACATGTTATTATGGATCTAAAGCAAAATTAGATTTGAAAAGAACTCTATCTTGTAGGTGCCTGGCTCTACATGCAGCTGCTTTCAGCAGTGAGAGCAGTGAGTGACTGGTGGATTAGCTATGTAAAGCTGTACTACTGTAATTCTGCTTTACAAATAGCCGTTTCACTCTTCACAACATGTGACGTGAATAAGGATTTTCTATACCAAATAAAAGTATTCCACTGAGACTCCTCTTGGAGTTTAAATGATGGACTAAAATCCAGTGTCTTAGTGCAGGACTATAAATTAAATGCACTGGAGGATGGGGTGGAGGAACGAGGAAGAAATCAGTATAAACTTGATGGGGGCGTACTTTTCACAGAGTCCAAGCCAAATACCTACCAGGATTAAGAATTGGACAAGTGCAGCCTCTGTTAGTCCAGGATTCCGGGTAGAGAGTTCGCTTTCCTCGCAGAATCTTAAACTTTGTTGATTTCAACACTTTCTTGATCTTCACGTTTACTTCTGCATGGGAGCCTTTGTCGTGAGCTGATAAAATCTTTGCTTTCACCACTGGGAGGGCACAATTTCAAAAGCAGCAATAGGTAAAATGGTCACACCCACCTCTCTCTCTAATGCAGTGTTGAGTAACACAGCTAAGGTGAATATACATTGCAGAATCAGCCTGAGTTTCCATTTTTAGGCTGAGCCTGTGTGGGTACGTCTACACTGCAGTCGCAGGGTGTGATTGCAGCTCAGACCTAAACTCGTTTTAATCTAGCTAGCTTGGATAGCAGCTGGAGCAGTGAAGCTGCAGCAGCATGGGTTTCAGCTGGGGCTGTACAAGCCCGCCCAGATCCCTCAGCAGTTCTCACAGGGCTAGTCCTCAACAAGGCGAGTGTTGCCTTAATTTCACTGCTCCGGGACTTGAGCTCGCTAGATTAAAGCTAGCTCGGGTTTGTACACCTGAGCGGCAATCCCATCCTGCGACTGTAGTATAGACGTACCCTGCGAGCCTTGCTGTCAGACTAGTGACACGCAGAAATCAATACTTCGCAGTTGCTGGAGAGAACGCTGGGTTAGTTTTATTTGAACTGTGCCAGATGCCCGCCCATCCTAAAGACAGCAGGGTAAGGAGATGCTGAGTGGCCTGACTTTCAAAATGCTAAGCACCCTCCTGCTCCCATGGAGGTCAGTGGGAACTGCTGCTTTTTCAGCTTCAATATACTTTCAGGAACCAAACTTTAGGCTCCTGCTATTGAAAACCTTGGTCAAGGCACACAAAATAGAATGAAAGGCACCTGAACAGCACCGTCCACCCCCTTCCCCCACAATCCCGCTCATCTCTAGCTGCCGATACTCCTGCACATGCCTGAGTAACTAAACTAAAACACGAGGGCCACTGACCGCTGGGATTTGGGCTCGTCAATGCCCAGAATCACCCCCACTTTCTTCTCACAGCAGATCTTTTCTCAGCGTTCATTGGGATGGATGTGTGCCAGCTGTACGATGCAGAGCGATGTTTCCATACCTGTGGACCAGTTTTGCTTTCTGCACTTGGTGTTGTGAACAAAACCTGCTGGGTAAATCTCTGCTGGTTCTGGAGGCGTGATTCCCAGCCTGGGTAGACATACCCGCGCTACCTCTGATTGAGCTAGCGCACTAAAAATAGCAGTGTAGCCATGGTAGTGCAGGTGGTGGGTTGGGCTGGCCGCCTGAGTACATACCTAGGGTCTCAGTCGGGATGGCACTTGGGCAGCTCACCCATCCTGTGCCCACGCGGCTGTGGCTACTCCTACATTGCTATTTTCAGTGAACTAGATTGATCAAAGCCAGCTCATGTACATCTACCCGGGCTGAAAATTACCCCTACAGCTGCAATGTGGACGTACAGTCCTGCTGCCATGCTACGCAGGCTGCTGCAGAAATGACCCTAGGAGAGCAGTGATAGTATTTAATAGCTTCTTCTGATGTTGCTTTATTTAGAGTCCATATTAAAAAGTATAAGACGACGACTCTTCTACACTGCAGCCCCTCACTTCACGCGTATGATGAACCCTACAATTCAGCTGTGGGCTCTGTAATTTAGCTGACACCCTGCAACACTGAGTAATGAAAGGGTGGGAGGCCTGAGTGCACTTCAGATAAGATTTATGAAGTTGTTTTTTTGCTTTTATTTCTTATCTTTTGCTAGATTAAACACTGTCACTATCGCAGTCAGGAAGCAAAGCAAAGCAGAGACGGATTTTTTTCTAATACCGCTAAGCCAGGGCCATATTTCAATGACATGCGGCCCCTTGAACTTCTCTTTGTGGGTCACTGCGCAGTCTGTAATGGCATGGATTATCTCTCAATGCATTTTAAACTCTAGCACGAGACAGAGCAGGTGCAAAAAAGTTTGAAAGCTCATGAAACGAAGAGGGTGTTATACAAAGAATTCCTTCCCCTGCACGGTATAAAGGAGATAGTTCACTGGCATACAGCTGCACGGCTCACCATAGGCAAAGTTTTCCCCTTACTCCTTTAAGTCTCAATATGCAAACGTTCTAACATCACTCCATTCCAACTGGTGAGCTCTTGTTGACAGGGCGCCAGTCCTTAGGAGTGAACTCTTAAGGGCTGGCGGAAGAGGCTTCTCAGTGAATGGTCTGTGCCCAGGGAAATCACTCGCTCTTGTGAGTTATCAGAGCTCAGAGCTGGTGGCCTCTAGGCAATGGTGCAGGGTGGACCTTTTGGACAAGGTCTTCCTTTTAGTATTGGTCCTCCAGCCAAGGGGATTTTCTAGTGGTTAGTGGGTGGATAATAGAGCAGGACACTTGATTATGCTTGGCCATTATGCGTAGTGTATATAGGTGTGTGTGTGTGTGTGTGTGTTTTCATAATTATATGTTTTGCACATTGCCTAAATACTGTGGCAACTTGCATCAAATAAAGGTCCTGTCCTGCATTTCTTGTGCACCCAGTCCTCCCACTGAAAATCAAGGGTGTCTTGGGGATGGAAGACATGCAGGGTAGAGTTCCAAATTTGTAAATAAATAAGTAATTTTCTTTATAATTGCTCCTTGAAAATTATCTTGGGTATAATCAGAACACAGGCAAACTGGGTGTCTGCCAAGTGATGTGCCTAGTGAGTGTTCATGGGAATCCACCTCTGATACTTGGTTTTTCCTGTAAGTTGCAATAAGAGATATAAACTTTATTACCTCCTTTCTTCAGCTTTTGCTGTTTTAATCCATTTTATGGGGTAAGCACCAGCTCTGCTGTTCTTACACTCTTACACAGACTCCTCAAACTGCCCTTTCTGTGCTAACAATAACCCAACCCAACAAGAATGTGTCCGTCTTGTAACTCACCATATGTGTATTTCATTCCACAGAAGACCTTGGGATTCCCTAAAACTTGTTCTTTGCATTCACATTTACCTGTGGAAACAAACCAAACCAAAAGTGTCTCATGGATGGTACTCAAAAGATTGAAACGTGCAGCAAAGGGAGGGGATGGACTGGATCAGGGGGTAACTAATGGGATATAGAGCCTTTCACTCCAGTACTGCTCGTTTAGATCAGCCCGAGTGGGTAGAGACAGGGTCTGGGGTGAAATCCTTGCCCCACTGACGTTAGGAAGAGTTCTGCTATTAACTTTGCTGTGGCCTGGATTTCATCCCTTGTCCTTCTCTCACACTAGCCTTACATGGTGTAACTCCACTGACCTCCCTTGAATGATTTTGCTTCATAGTTGAGTAAGTGAGAGGAGAATCAGGCCAACAAAGTCATTACCCAATGACTGCCTATTCAGTGATTTGTGTGAGAGGATTTTGAGGGCTCCATCACTTCCCAGCAGACATGAGGCACATCTTAAAAGAACAACTCACCACCACCATTTGTAACCTTGCACAGGGAACGAGAACGCAGGGGCTGCAAGCATTGGTAACCAAGTGCCAGACCCAGGCAAACCGCATGGGCAAATTGTTACTTGTATTTTCATTAGCACAACTCTGCCCATAACGAGGTTTGAAAACACCACAGGACACCAGGTGAGACATAACTGAGCATCCGTTTCCCTAGTGCAGGGATCGCAACCTTTGGCATGCGGCATGTCAGGGAAATCCACTGGCGGGCCAGGACGGTTTGTTTACCTGCAGCGTCCACAGGTTTGGCTGATCGCAGCTCCCACTGGCCATGGTTTGCCGTTCCAGGCCAACAGGGGCTGCGGGAAGTGGCAGCCAGCACATCCCTTGGCCTGTGCCACTTCCCGCAGCCCCCATTGGCCTGGAATGGCAAACCGCGGCCAGTGGGAGTCACGATCAGCCAAACCTGCAGACACTGCAGGTAAACAAACTGTCCCGGCCCACCAGTGGATTTCCTTGACATGCCGCGGGTGTGCCAAAGGTTGCTGATCCCTGCCCTAGTGCATGCCCATCTCCCCAGTTTTGAAAAGCACTCATGTAACTGAAGCACAAGCTCGTCTTTCAGAACATACAAGCTACCTTTAATTAGATGTCAAGTTTATTTATTTTAAAATTGGAATCTTCCAACTTTTAGCTTTTAATGATATAAACTCTCCAAACTCCCACCGGCCCTGACTCTGTGCCACACAAGGATTCCCCTGTGCCAAAGGAATGCTCAGTTGGGGAGATCCACTGGTGTCCACCCCAATCGTGCCATAGGAGTGGTGCAAAGGGGCCTGAGCCCAAGGACTTCCCCAATGTAGCTCGCGATGTTCTGTAGTATGCCCCTCTGCACTACAGTCTTATAGCGCTGCCATTTGTTTGCCAGGGTTTTCATTTTAAGCCCGAGCCAGCAATGCACTTAAGCAGGAGCTTAATTTTACGCCTGTGTGTAGTTCCACGTCGACATCAACTACACTTGATCACATGCTCAAAGTCAAGCACAGTGCTTAATTATTTTGCTTGGTCAAGGCCCCCTATCTTCAGGAGGTCAGCTGAAAATTGGATTTCAGGAGGTCAGCTAGAAAATTGGGCTCCAGGTTCACAAGATCTTAGCCCAAGAGGAAGTAGTTTTTGCACTCTGATGGGAGGGGGGGAAAAAACCCTTTCTATTTTGAATTACAGTACTAAAATAAGAAGCGAGTCTTTTCTGATTCTATCTTTGCGTTTGTACCAGTCAAAATTTGCTTAAAATGAAATGTTGCAGATGGTTATTCTGTATTTTGCCGATTAATTGCTATTGTGCTCTTGAAATAAAAAAAATGATTTAAAAGTCTCATGGACAGACACTAGGGTTTTTTCTCCCCACTTAATGTGTAGTCAGAATTTTTATCATGCAATTTAGTGCATATGCAGAAAGTGGCACTTGCACTGACTTGATAAGATGGAATGACTTTAGAAAGCAGGTGTACTGTCAATCTGCAAAACACAAAGGCCCTAGCTGTGGAAACCTTCTCCTGGTAAATGCTCACTCACACGAGTAGTTGCACTGAAGTCATTAAGACTAGTCATGTGAGTAAGCACTCACCAACAGAGGAGATGCACAATCAGGCCACACTGCCTAATAATAATCATATGGTCCAGCAAAGTTACACAATACTTTTTAGGAGGACAAGTGGAAAATAACTCCTCCAGTTGAAATCATAGCTGGACTATGAGATACTCTGTAACCATGTCATCAACCACAACAGCTTCCAAACTTGATATGATAGTCTGAGAAAATTATGGTGTTGTCACTCTTGTTTTAGAAACTCCCTAATTACATATCTAATTCATCTGGGCAACATCACACTCTTTAAATAACATTATCATCAATTTACCCAACAGAATATAACAGCTCTGGGCAAATATCACATAAAGGAGCTTATTAAAAACAAAGTAAAAGAAAAGAGCATTTAAAAGTATTCTGATATAAATGCGCAAAAGCCCAAGAATACAGAGCTCAGGATGAAAACCCAGGCAGATATTCAGGCTATCAACCCCTACTCACTGGGATCAGATTTTAAGATGGGACTGTCTGCCTAGACTTTAGATATCCTTGTGTATGTGGGTTGAAGTCAGTCTTTCAATGTTCCTTAGGCTTTTTTTTTTTTTTGGTAGTTGAACAGTACTGAACGTTGGACATTACATTCCTCGCTACCACCATTGCTAAGGCATTAATCCAAAGCAACGCTCTGCTGCATTTTCACAAATCACTTTAAAAGACCCTTTTCTTGTTCATTGGGAACAATCTCTTAGTAACAGGAGGGGAGATGAGAAATATGTTTGAATCAGCTATCTCACCTGAATGCCGGAGAGCAGAGAATCCTTGTTCGTCCTCCCATCCCCAAGCTGGCTCACTCTTGTTAAACACAGAGCGGAAATCAGGAATTTCGTGATGCCAGACTATGTCCGCACTGTTGTAATAAAAGGAAAACGGTGAGTTGTTTCTTATGGAATAAGTAGAAAATACCACAAATTCAAGAAAATTATCACATTTACAATCAATAGTCCATTTTTCAGAAATTTACCATGAAGTTTCTCCAGATTTATTGGTATTGTAAAACACACAAAACTGAATAGTTTTAGACAGTGAACAGCTTGATCATTGTAAACTCCCAGATTTGTGTTATGGATCCATGTTTGGTATAAAATATATTTTAGAAATTTGTATGTGATATATAATCTCAGAGAATATACAATGTCCATAGAAGGATCTGTTTGTACAGCTCAGAGACTCACAGACTTTAAGGTCAGAAGGAACCATCATGATCATCTAGTCTGACCTCCTGCACATCGCAGGTCACAGAACCTCACCCATCCACTCCTGCATTAGTCCCATAAAATCTGGCTGAGTTACCGAAGTCCTCAAATCCTGATTTAAAGACTTTAAGTTACAGAAACTCCACCGTTTACACTACGTTAAAGCTGCAAGTGACCTGTGCCCCATGCTGCACAGGAAGGTAAAAAAACCCAGAGTCTCTGCCAATCTGACCCATGGGAAAATTCCTTCTCGACCCCAAATATGGTGATTAGTTAGACCCTGAGCATGTGGGCAAGACCCACCAGGAAGACACCAGCCAGCCTGGCCTAGAGATGGTAATTGGTAACCTAGGCCTCCTGAGATGGTTAGATTTAAAATATGTTCTTCTCTAGCATCCAATAAATTAGGGCTTGACATTGGTCCATTTAAGTCAATGAGACATTTGTGATTAACTTCAATGGTAACAGGACCGAGCCCTTCAATCTTTCTTCAAATGCATGGAAACCCCCACTTCCCCACAAATTGTAAGAACCTGAAAGTACCAGCACCAAATACCCAGATGTCAGGAAGGGGAGGCTATATGTCATGACTAAGGCTACGATTTAGTCACGGAGGTCGTGGAAGTCACAGAATCTGTGACTTCCAGCCAGTGCCGGCTCCAGGCACCAGCTTACCAAGCAGGTGCTTGGGGCGGCCACTTTGGAGAGGGGCGGCACGTCCAGCTGTTCGGCGGCAATTCGGCGGACAGTCCCTCACTCCTGCTCGGAGCGAAGGACCTCCTGCCGAATTGCCGCCGCAGATCGCGATCGCGGCTTTTTTTTGTTTGTTTTTGTTTGGCTGCTTGGGGCGGCCAAAACCCTGGAGCCGGCCCTGCTTCCAGCAACCTCTGTGACTTCAGTGGTGGGGAGCTGCAGGGTTTCCCGCCAGCCACTGACAGCAGGCGGCAGGGTACCCCGCAGCTCCTGGCCACCGCAGGCGGTGGGGGAACCCTGCAGCCCCCGGCTGCTGTGGGTGGTGGGGAAACCCCAAGCTCCCAGCTGCTGCGGGCCAAGGAACCCTCGGGGATGGCAGAGGAATCCATGAGCTCCCGGGTGGCAGGGGTGGCTGGGGAACCCTTGAACTCTCCAGCGGCGGTGGCTGGGGAACCTCCGAGCTCCTGGCAGTGTGGGTGGCGGGGGAACCCCCAAGCTCCCGGCCGCTGCAGCCCCCGGAGCTGCGGGTGGTGGGGGTACCCCGCAGTCCCCAGCTGCTGCAGGTGGCTCCTAGCCCCTGTGCAGCTGCCCCCCCTTCGGGAGGTATGGAGATCCAGAAATCCCCATTTTGTCACGGATATTTTTAGTAAAAGTCAGGGACAGGTCACGGCTTCTGTGAATTTTTCTTTTTTGCCTGTGACCCGTCCCTGACTTTTACTAAAAATATCCGTGACAAAATCTTAGCCTTAGTCATGACCCATGATACTATAATAAAATGGGCCATTCTCCTGATATATTATTGTTAATAACTTAAACATATTACTAACCCAAGATCCTGCTTCTGTATCATATAAAAGTGTGACTGGCTGAACTCTGAGGCCCTACAATATAATAAAGATAAATATGGTAGGGCCAGTGCATCCCCTGTGCATATGCACATCAGGGTGGACGGATTTCCTTCTGGGCTCCATGGAAACTATTTGATGGCCAGCCATGGGCTCTGTGCTCCACATGGGCACAGGAAGAGGGGCACCAGTGAGTCGAGGATTGGCTGAGTTTTACAGCACCACCCATGTTCAGACCTGCTCTACTAACTCTCTCTGGCTCCCCTCTGGGACTGCTACAGAGCAGTTGCAGGGCAACTCAGACAATGGCCGCACAGCTCCAGCTACTGCCCTGCTGTCACAAGGGGATAGTTGGGCCAGTAGAGAAACACAGCGGGGCAGCCATCCAGGCAGATAGCTCCTGCTTCCATGTATCTAGATGACTCCTTCCCTGTGGATCCTCTAGATCTGAAGGCTTGGAAGGTATTGTCCCCTGCTAACCCTGCAGACAGCAAAAGCCCTCCCATCAAAAGCCATGAAATCTTTGGCAGGAAACTGTGCCAGGTAATCACATGGAGCTTTTAGTCTTCTCTGACTCTCTCCAATAGGTTTCTCCATAGGAGGAAGTCAATCTGGCCCAGTATCCATTTATAAACTGTGTGTATCATCAGGTTTTCGTTAGTACCAATCCAAACAATAAGGTCTATCTAAAATAATCAACACTTATTGAACATATCTGGGATATGAAGGTCCATGATCTAATTGCATTTGTGAGTCTAGAGAAATAGCATGTCTGTCCACTCACCCGCTGATGCAGTCACCAGTGAGTGGGTCACAGCTTCCGGCACAGTCACACGGTCTGCAGCCATACTCTCCAAAGCCCCAGTATCCCACCATACACTGGTCACACTGAGGACCTGCCACTCCAGGTTTGCAGGGGCAGTCACCGTTGCTGGGATCACAGAAGGTATTAGTGCTGAAAGGAAGCATGGCCGATCCAACTGGGTGGCAGGAACACACTGCAGTACAAAGCAGGTACGTCATGTAAGTGTATTGCTGATGGAAAGCTAGCAATGCTGGATATGAATGCAGAGCAAACAGATTAGTTCACCCAACGGATGGCTGAACTGGATGTGCTTATTATTTTACACTACTGGGGAGCGAGGAGTAGTAGGTTGACATAGTTACCAGAGGAAATATGTTTGCTACATTACTGAAAGTTTACCCAGAGTTGCTGGACTGGCACAGCACAGACATTTTCCAATCATTACATGAAATGTGACCTGACAATAAAGTAAAACTTTTGCTTGACATAGTGTGAGACACATGCCAAACCTTTAGAGGTTCTAATAATAATGATGTTGTTTCTGGACTTTATTCTCCTTACTTGTATGAACTTGACCTGAGGAATTCCCTCTAAAAATGACAAGACTTTAACTTTTGTTGTATTATAATTAGTCAAGCTAGCTTTGTTTTGTGTCATGTTTTGCCAAAAGTGAAAAGTACTACGTCAGTCAGCTTATAACTCTAGGGCCCCAATTCAGCAAGGCACTTAAGCACATGCCTAACTTTAAAGTTTGCACCAAAGTACCTTGTTGAATCAGGACTTGGATCATTATTGTATATTCTATAAAAAAGAATCCTAACACAACTGCTTTTTGAAGTAACAGTTCATGATCCTCTTGCTCCAAGAAGGTTTGAAAAAGTCATTTTAATTTAAATGAATGCTGGGTAAAATTTAGTTCTTTTCTGGCATTTAAAAACAAAGTGGCTATTTTGAAATGCTGAATAAAAAATGAGGGCACTGATAACGAAGGGTCGGGTTGTATACAAACCCTATCCGGCTCTTGTATAGACCCTTAAACATGGATTTTTCTGAGTTTGTGTAAGCTTTGGGGCCCGAAACCTGAAAAGACTCGTTATTATTGATCAAGGAAGGGGTCCTCTTCACTCTTCTTCCATATTCCTCTTCCCTGCTTAACACATTGCAGCAGCTCTCCATTTGCGTGGAAAGAGCTGGATGTGGCTCTTTCTGAAGACCATCAGAGTGGGTCAATACGGCAGCCACAGGTATTATTAGAGAGCAAGGTGACGTTGTTTTTCTTCTTGGGGAAAGAGAGGGGGCAGATGGGACAAGGGGAGAGAGAGACAAATCCCACATTCCAGAATTAAAAAATTTGGAGGAAACTCTACATGAGAAGGGTTTGGAATTTTTCTCCCCTTTAACACGTTTTCCCACCTGTAATCTAGGCCTCCTTTTGCTGTCTCTGCCATCCAACATACAGAGGGTTGAAAAAGTTTTAAATAGGGGATTTTTTTTCAGGGGTTTTTTTTTTTTTTTTGGGTGCAAATTCAAATACCAAAAAATTTAGGGTGAAAACCAAAATAATTTGATCTGGAGACACCTGGCTGGGGTGCAGGGCCGGCTCCAGGGTTTTGGCCGCCCCAAGCAGCCAGACAAAAAAAACAAAACAAAACAAAAAAAGCCGCGATCACGATCTGCGGCGGCAATTCGGCAGGAGGTCCTTCGCTCTGAGCAGGAGTGGGGGACTGTCCGCCGAATTGCCGCCGAACAGCTGGACGTGCCGCCCCTCTCCGAAGTGGCCACCCCAAGCACCGGCTTGGTAAGCTGGTGCCTGGAGCCAGCCCTGCTGGGGTGCCTCAAGAGAGCTGTCGTTTGGATGCCTCATGCTCTCATTCTCCAATATAGGCAGGGGCTCCCTGGTCAAAGCACATCTCCCATGATGCATTACAGTCTTCTGAGAGAGGGGAGGCTGTACATCATGGGAGTCCCTAGCTGTGGTGCATCATGGGAGATGTAGTCCAGCCAGGGAGCCCAGCCCATACAGGAGAATGGGGCTATGAGTCAACCAAATGGCAACTCCATTAGGCACCACAGTATCATTTCCAAAGCTAAATATTTCAGTTTTCAGGCATTCTTTTTTTGACAAAAACAATCAAAATTTTTCACAGAAAGTGAAAATTTTCATTTAGCCAAAACTGCAAATTTCTGTCAAAAACAGTTTGGGCAGAACATTTTCAACCAGCCAAGGGTTTTCTCTTTCCTGCTGTGGAGGCAATACAAAGAAAGGCACTACATAGAGCTCAGCCATGCTTTGCCTTAGAACACTTATTGTTATGCACATATCTTTGATTCTGACCTGATGACGTTTTTATGGTTTCCAGAAATTCCAGGGTTTGACGTACCTGAACTGCAGTTTTAACATATTAAGTCAACCTTTAATATTGGCAGTCAATTTATAGTACTGACTGTGGTTCCAGAATCTTTGCAAAAAACTCCCCAAAATCCAACAACGCCAAAACAAATAAAATAACCCCCTCTCTGCCCCTTCTTCCCCAAACAAATATAATTATAGAAAATAAGATTAAAAATCCTCTCCACAAACTGCATAACTCGCTGCAGGCAATAGACTCCAGTACTTTTAATAGCATAGTTTTCAGCAGTGCTCACTGAGGCTCACATACCTTTCTCCTGAAGGCTGTCAGGTATTTTACACTTGACACATGCATCCGAACATGCTATTTTCTTACTCGATGCAGAGGATATTTATGGAATTTCTCAACCCCCTTAGGGGGAAATAAAGTACCCTACACTCTTCTGGTCTCATGCACTCAATGGGCTAAATTTACCAGTGACATACATGGATTCAACTCTGCTGAAGTCAATGGAATTGTACAGCCTTAGGCCGGGGAAGAATCTGGTCCAGTACGTTACATTTTAGCCAACATTTCCTCCATTTTTTCCTAAGAGCTGCAGTTTGGAGACCCAGTTCCCACAGCTTAATGGGTTCTGCAATACCATGGCTAGTAGCTAAAATTACCCCTATGAAAGCTGTTAGCAAAGATCCAGTCTGAGCATAAGAGGGAACTGGACTGAATCAGAGAGGCACATTTACTTGATTTTATTTTTAACTTCCATATTACAGCCAGTAAGTGTCAAATTTTCAAAGACCCCTCATCCTCACATTTGCTCACCTACATTTTTGTGCATTTATATTTTGAGATTTGGAAATAGCTCCTGGCAATTTGCCCCTAAAATCAGCATTCACAAGTATCCTTGACACTGCAGCTCAGAAGTATAGCTGGGCTGCAGAATCATTTTTCCTTTAGCCATCTGAGGGAGGGTTCTCTTAAAAGTCTCTTTTGGACATGTCAGAGTTGCCTTTGGACGTTAGGAAACTGCCAAGCAAATTATAAAAGAGGCCTTGCAAACTCTCAACCTCCCCTCTCCCCCAAAAGGAAATATTTTCATTTCCTAGAGGCTAAGGGCCAGAAAGATTATTCAAGCAAATTCACACTATTCTTTGCTAATCTTAACTAGGATGATCAGATCAGCGCTACTATAACCACAGAATAAAGGTAGTTACATACTTATGAGACCAAATTTAGGGCTGGTGTAACTGGATGTAACTCCCACAGAACCCTTAGGGTCAAATTCAGTGGAGAAAGCAAACTGTTGTGCAAAAACTACACACTGGATGTAATATGGTCAGAAAATGATGTAAGCAGGAAAATAGTGTAACGTCCACTGATCTGTACCAGTCCACTGATCTGTACCAGTGCAAAACAGCTACAAGATCTATCTGAAAGGCCCCCTGAGAATTCCCTATGCATAGGGAATTCACTGGTGACGTAAGCCATCCCCTTGCTAGTGCCCCCAGTGTAAAGGGCATGGCTGGAGTATCGGTACACCTTGGTGATTCCCAACTAGAAAGGCTGTTCTCTGTTATGCTTGGTGCCCATCCCAGGGTCCTACAATATTTTCCTCCTGAGTTGCACCAGGTGCACAAAAACTGGGCCCCAGGGTCTGGCCCAGTAGTTGCACAAAATGAGTGTAAGTTACAGGACCAAGAAGAAGAAGGTGGGTTATCAGGAAAAGCAACAGGAAGGTGTGTGATAAAATGGACGTGGCTAATTACTTGCTTTCTTCTTTACCTTCCAAGATACACCAACTTCTGACTCCTCGGCATGTCTGTAATATTTGTTTCACACCTGCTGGATCTGACCTGTGGGCCTGCTATGGCCCCCTTCTGCCACTTTGGTAGTGGAACGGAGCTATAACACTGGCTTAGCCCACTACCTGGGCATTTGCTACACCATCTCCTGTCCTGGGGCCCAGCCTACAGGGTGTGACTGCGGGAAAGAGGATGTGGCTTTACTGTCCCATCATTCTGATGATCCCCTGACTACTTGTTGGCATACCAATATCAGTTAGGGGCGGTGATTTTTATGGTATTTTTATACTGGCAAAATCCATAATGTACATGTATTTATACTGGCAAAAAGGTGCTTTTACTGGCACAGCTTATGTTTGGGAAACTGGTACAAGCTACTCTAGCTAAAGCTATCCTTTGCCGGAAAAGGGTGTATTTACACTACGAGGGTTTCCCAGGACAGCTAGACTGGCCAACTTTTCTAGTGTAGGCTGAGTCCCAGAATGCTCTCTGGGACAGGAGCAGATGGTGCAATTTAGAGTAGCTTTGAGGCTGTTCTATGTAGCACCAAGAGCCTAATCAGCTTCCAGCTGGTTTCAATACTGGGGGGAGCACAAAGGCTGATGCTGAGTTAATGTGGCTAGTTTTGCATGTAGTTTTGAACATATGGTAACTGTGTGTAATGTATATGTGACTGGAGCCTAGGATAGGCGCATACTGTGAAACGCCATAAAGAAATAAAGTGCACCCCACAACGATACAGAATAAATGTAATAGACACTCCACATCACAAAGACAAACAAACAGCTAAATACCCAGACAAAACAAGGACATCATGAAAAGAGGAAGGTAAATGTCCAAACATGTGTAGGGTCAGGACACAGCAGGAAATTAATTCTAAAGCATTGATGACTTGGAGCTTGGCAATTACAGCTATTACTGTCTGCGGCCTGATGATCTGCTTCTCTTAGAGCTGCTTTTGGACTCTGTTTTCTCCAACTATCCTATCCCTAAATACAGGGTCTGTTAGAGAAGCTCCCTGAAGAAGCTGGGGAAAACAATAA